CTTTTCCAGCAATGACATTTGCTAAACATTCCTCTAACTCCGGCTTCAACTTCTTGATATTTGTGGGACGAACAAAAACAGATTACTTTATTATCCCATTTTCCGCCATTGCCAAACTACAACCAGCAAACTCGGCGCAAACTCTTGACGTCACCGGCACCAACCTACAACCTCCGCCTCCCGTGCATGCTGATTGGTTAGATGGGACACAACCAAAGTAACTGCAGGCACTGGGATCAGACCCAGACGTACACGTAGGGAAATAATAATATACTGGAGTTTACGGATGGCTAAGGCCAGGCTAGTAGTCGTGAACAACTATTGTTTCTATTAATTAACTAGTCAAATGATTATTTCTCTTGTTTGTTTATGTTTCTTGACACCTTTAATATTGAGGCCTATTTTGCAATTTTTTATTTTTTCTAAATGTCTGAAAAGAGTACAAATATTGGCTGGACTTAGTGAAGCAGAGGCCCTGTAGTTTTGGTCTCTGGTAACTAATTATAAGTGGGAACAATCTATGCACAGATAAAGACTTTTTCTTGGGTAAATATAAAGGAGAGTAAAGCTGGTGTCTGGAAATTGGGTCTAATAAACAGAGGTTTTTACTATTCGTCTTTAACAGCACGGGGATATTTCAATACAAAATCTTTTTAGGGACCTGTAATGAAGCAAAATAAGTCCAGGAGGAGTACCAGTAAAATCCTTTGTTTTGCAAATTGCTAGTGTAATTTTTTTAAACTAGAGTTTGGAGTTGGTCCAGATTCAGTTCAGAATGTGACTTGAGATTTGACTGGAAATGAGAAGGATTCACCTTTTTTTCAATCACCCACATTTCCAGTTAGAGGTGGTTGGATGGTTTTACTGTATTATTGCAATGACAAAATATGAATTTAAATAAGGGCGACAGTAGCTCAGTTGGTAGAGCATTGGCCTTTGAGCCAGAAGGTCGTGGGTTCAAGCCCACCTCAAGACTTTCACCATCGACTCCCACTGTCTGCTGTCGTTGTGTCCTTGGCAAGACACTTAACCTCTGGGAGCAGCAGATGCCACAGTGGGGCGGTTGCGGCTGTAAAGTGCCAAACTGTCGTTGTGTCCTTAGGCAAGACACTTCACCCCCATTGCCTAGAATAAGTCTGGTGCGTGAATGGTTGGTGGTGGTCGGAGGGGCCGATGCCACATACTGGTTGCCTCGCTTCTGTCAGTGTGCCCCAGGGCAGCTGTGGCTACAGTAGTAGTTTATCACTACTGCGTATGGAGTGAAAGAATAATGACATGTAAAGTGTCTTTGCGTGTCCAAAAAAGCCATTGGATTTTTCAAACGGAATCATATACATCAAATACAATCAAGATGTTGATTCTGTTCATAAAAGAAAAAGGTACACAGAACATTTTCAAGCAGAATGAGACTGAGATTAATCTCAGTCTCATTCTGCCAGATCCAATCCTGTATCTAACCCTCAAAAAACCCCATCACCTGCAGACAATGATGAACAGTGTTGGGTAAGTTACTTTGAAAAAGTAATTAGTTAAAGTTACTAGTTACTTCTCCCAAAAAGTAATTGAGTTACTAACTGAGTTACTCCACTATAAAAGTAACTATTTACCAGTAAAAGTAACTATTGTGTTACTTTTTCGTTTGTCGTGGTACCGAGCTTTAGCTGGTTGTAATTTAGGATAACTTCTAAGTAGATTAATTGTTGCAACAACGCCACCCTATTTTAGTAGTAGTAGTTGTAGTTTAGTATTATATGTTAGTTTAGGGAACTGTCCTGCAAGGCAAACAGGTAATTCTTGTTTTTATTCATTGATCAAACAAAACACATTACAAAACTTGCAATTGAAAGAGACTATTTTAAAATAATTAGTTCCCACATACACACACGAGCAGTCCTCGCGGCTGACAGACAAGAACCAGGGAAAATACAATGCGCAGGGCGCTGAACATGTAAACGGAGCAATTGCTTGCTGCCCGCGCAAAGCTTGCACTCCACGACAACGTTTTTACCTTTTAACTGGTATAGTTAAAATAGTGTGCATATCTCCACCGGTAAAACAAATTCCTCTCCTCTGGTTCTGCCATGTTGCTTTACAAACAAACTCGCTCATGTGCTCATGTGTCGTAAGCACGCAGGCACACACACAGCGGCAGTGCAGCTTTCTCCTGCTTTCCCGAGGCCGGTGCCGCCGGTAACAAAGTATTTAGGTTGTAACTGTAATATAATTAAACATATTTTCATAATAACGCATTACACTACTACGTTACTCAAATTGTAATTTCGTCATTGTAACGCATTACTAAGTAACCCAACACTGATGATGAACCAGGCTGAACTGGGGCCCCAACTTCAGAAAAAATATAATGATGTAATGAAATTGTATAGTCTCTTTATATGAGCAAAAACAACAGAATGTTCCTCTAAGGCAGGGGTGGCCAGCCCTTTAGTACTGTACGAGTCAATTTCTGTCATTATCATGTTGATGACATTTACAATACATCTGTCTGAGCAGAGGTGTGTGCGTGCGTGCGTGTGTAAGGGTTGGGGTGATGTTTATGTAGTGCATATTTGTATGATGTGGCTCTTTGCTGTAACACAGTAAAAAAATTGGCTCTTAGTCTGTGACTGGTTGGCCGTCCCTGCTCTAAGGCGTATGAGGTAATAATTTACTTACTTATTTGTGTATTACTTCAATAGATATTTTCAAATGGTTCGAGGACAGTGTTAGTGTTAAAAGTCTATTGTGTGTATTTATATATCGAAATTATTTCTTATGCATGTCTATTTTTGACTATTTTATTACTAGTTATTGCACCATATGCCAAAGCAAGAGTTTGTGACTTTTTTTTAAAAACAATCTTGATTATGTTTTTGATACATTTTTATATTCAACTAATTTCAACCATTTATAACAGACACGATATAACTTTGTATTTAATGTATAACGGCTGAATAGGAAATTTTATTAAATTTCTGGTAATAAGTTCTGTTTATTTCACTATTGCTTGGACATAGAGCTAACAAGTACAGAAACACAACCACTTCTCATGTGAAACTGCTTTAAATAAAATTGTATGATAGTGATGGAGCATTGTGTTTGGCCTTTGACCAGAGCATCATCAGTTCAAACCTTGAGCAGTAATTGTGTCTGTATCCTTGGGAAAGAGACTTCGTTTACATTGTCAACTGCACAGTACAGTTGAAGCATGTGGCTGTGGAAGGACATCTGGTAATAAAATCAGTCAAATCTCTGCTCGCCTGGATGTCAGCTGGTACTGCTGTTGACATCAATATAACCCTAACCCCGAGGCCTAATCATTTGAGCATTATGAAAAATGTAATGTCCACAGAAACATGACTGGCTTTGTCTTTCGGTGAGCGCAGGAATGCAAAAAATGACAAAAAAACTAAAAACAATCCAGATTTAATCCTATCATGTGCTCATGTAAAACGGAGAGAGGGCATAATTATGGTGATTTGATGAGGGTCAAATCCTTCCTCTGGCCCGGAATTAATAAAAAACAAAACAAAAAGGTAACACGGCTGCTACTTGCACCACTTTGTAACAGTCCTTTCTTTGAATAAGCTCTAAAGCTCTAAATCCAACTGGCTCAAGCCGTCCAAATGTCCCGTCACAATGGACACAGTTCCGGATCTTTCTGAGGACCTCATGGTTTTCACAGTTCTGCTGAGCCTGGAAAATACCCATCTGGCTCTGGCCCTTCAGCGCTGTTCAGCTCTGGTTCAACAGCTCATAAGGTGAAAAATAACACCGTAATAATCACCAGTGTGCATGCAGTCACTGAAACACAGCTCAAAATATAAATGCAAGGGAAAACCTTTAGTGTCATTAATCAAAAACAAATGGTGACATGTTTATGGTTTGTCATGTCAGAGGTTGATGTAATGAGATGAGATAACCCTTTTTTGTCCCACAGCGGGGAAATGTTGATGTTGCAGCGCACATAGAGGACAGTAGAAAGAGCACTCAAGGAAAACACAAAATATACAATACAAGCAACTGTTATCTTTCTTAACTAGCTTCCTCTTATTAGAAAACATGTCATATTTGGCATAAAGAGCCCTGTGATTCTTTGAGCTAAGAGCTGGTTGGCTGAGTGAGGGTGGTACTCTCTGTTTTTGTTACTTTTACTTGTCTGAAAATATGAGACAAGTGACAATTTTCTTCAAGCCAGAAAATACATTCATAGCACCAAAATGTCTAGAGATCAAGTAACTAGTTAGAATGATTTTTATTACATATTTAAATGTTTTGTGGTTTTAAAGTTAGGTTCCCAAGCTTTAATATTTTGTTGTTTACTGTGCTGTGTTATGCTGGCTGCTACCTTAACCAGGTCTATGCTAATCCTCAGTCAAACTTCTTGCGTGAATGAATGAACTTGGCCTATATAAGAAATACATTTATTTACATATCAACACACACAAAAGACAAAATAATCACTACACACTGAAGCATTATCCAATAGCCTATTTTCTGTATTCCTGATTGAAAATTACTGACCCAGCACTGGTTAAATTATATAACAAAAGCAACAAAAAGTTACTCTTCCTTAAGTACGGAAAAAGTGTGAATCTTGGGCTACAGCAAAACAGCACATTGATAAAGTACATACATGTTTGAAGATTGCAATAAAAAGGGAAATTTTAGAAAGGCAATGATCATTTTGAAACTAAAACTAAGAGGATTTTCATAGAACCCAAAAGCTCACTTGTTCGCATGTCCTCAATGCGCACAGAGTTGTAATCCACAGGTAAACAACATGGCACAAAGCATCCCCATTAGGACAGAAGCTTTGAAACTTAACACGAATAATCATCCATTGTTGATGTTCCACACAAGCACACAATCTATTTACTATTGCAGATTTCTCCTGTGAACCATCCATTATGTAAGCAAACATTCACCGCACCCATCTGGCCTCTCCTGTCACTGTCACACAAACATACACCTACACATCTACGGTTAATCCTCGTGCCTACCCTTCATGAAAGTCCTTTAACATCTCTCTGTAGCAGCCTTGAAGACAGCGGCATGCCTGGTCGGCCACGGTCACACACTCCACCACCACCATCTCCTGCTATGGGCAGACTCTCCGTAATGATCTGTTAGCTGCACACGGATCATCCCCAAACACGTTAGCGCTATTATTGTATGAGAAAGGTAGCTGGGCGAATAGATGGGGGGAAGGTGAGATTTTCTTTAGCAGGCTTAGAGGCACTGATCTTCCCTTGGCTAGCACTGATCTCCTAATAACAAGCTTACCACCACCTGCTAGAAAGAAATCAGCAATAGTGCTCTGAGTAGTTTTAGTCCATTGAACATGCACGGGGGGGAAGAGGAGTTCATATGGATGACTTGATACCATTCTGCAGGCTGCACTAACCTGATTGTCGCCATGTAGAGAGAGGCTCCACACTGATCAGACCTTTTTCAAATGGCTTCATTCACTCAGCAGGAGCCATGCATGAGGCATCACAGCTGAGCGAGAGGGGAGGGAGGAGGAGGTACGATGCAAAGAAGAACGATGGAGGGAAAAAAGGGGGACGAACAGGTTCGCGGGCATGCTAAGACCACGCAAAAAAAAAAAAAAAAACTCACACAAAGGGCAGTATTTTCAAGATCTGTATGCTATCGTTGCAGTGTCGGTTTTGTGGTTGCTCCTCCGTCTATCTGAGGCTGTAACGCTCGTGGCGTGTTTCCATTTTCTTTCCATCTTTCGCCCAGAGCTAACGCATCACCTGCCTTCTACACCAGCCTCCGTGGGTTGTAAACACCAGCCGCTTCTGCTGCTCTGCATTCTGGGAATTTCACAGCTCCTGACTGACAATAGATTGGAAGTAGATTGAGCGAGCCGCAAGAGAGAGAGGGTTAGAGGGAGAAGGAGAAAGAGGGAGGGAGCGTATAAGCACGAACGGAGAGATGGCTTTCACTTTGCATTCCTGCTCGTCTTGGTGCGGGTGCAATGAGCCTGCTTGAGTTTTAATTATTCACGTGTTTCATGAATGAGGGGGTGACATCACTGGCATTCAGGTCGTTTTACATTTACAGCAGCCTCTGTACAGTAACAAGTACACAGACTTCACACAGCCTCTGTTAAAGCCTGGGGCAATTAACTCTATTGTGTGCTGGAGCCGGCAACTGTACGTGTTTACAGCTTCCACCCGCCTGCAAAGTATAATAATCATATAAAGAATTGTTTTATACGACAATAACATCCTGTACAAACAAATGAGAAAGATCAAGTACCTCACTGTCAAACCAATAATAATAATACAAAAAGTAACAAGAAAATAGTTAGTTACTATCACTTTTTCCACATGCATGTATTCTTTGGCCTCAGACCAAAATAGATTACAGCAATAGTCTTACAGGGCTCTGATTTAAAGGGTTTGCAAACAAAAAAGCATGTATATTAAGATAAAGAGCATGGTGTGGTCTGATTTGTTCTTCACAACATTTGACTTTTTCTTGAACAAATCTTTCTGTTGGGACACCCAGAATGTGTTATTTATGAAAACAAGTTAGCTATAGCTTTAAGTGAATCAAAGACACATTTATGTAATTTAACTGCTATGACACATAATGCACTGATAAATGATTTGGTAGCTAGAGAGAGAAAAAAAATATGGATTTATATAATATAGGATACAAAATGTGAAAACATGCATGATATTTTAGCCAGAGATAAAGAAAATTACAAAAGAGAAGATAAGATAATAGAACCTTTATTTGTCCCGCAGTGGTGATATGTTATTGCGCATTACACGGTAGTGGGAATAAAAGAGCATAATAAAGATAATAATTACAATAAAATTATACAAATTGCTCTAAATAATAACAAATAATATGCTAAATCTAAAACTATTGTTGCATAGTAGCCAAAACTATGACCAAAGCATTCACAATCATTACCATCTCTATGCAGTGTTACACCGGTCTGCCTGACAGCTGACCAGAGTAACTAATGGTCTCTGTTTCTTCAGCAGAATGAGTGATGTGGCGGGTCAGTGTCGGAAAGACTTGACCCGAGCAGTCCGTCTCTGCTTCTCTCTGCTCTATTCAACCACAGTGTGCAGCTAAGCCTTCGCAAACTCACTTCAACAGCTGACCTACTTAGCAATGGCTACTGTGATCTTACTCTTGTCACTCTATTGGCGTTCTGAAAGGGTTAAGTCGACAATAAAGCTATATCCTACAATGCGGTTGAGCTGTGCAGCACAATAGGAGAAAATAGATGCAATAATGGTATGATAAATAAAAAATATAGGTTAGATAAAAATAGGTTCTTTAACAGGTGCTCAACTGCCACCTTTTTCATTTTTGCTTTGGTTCATCCAGATGTTTTTATATGTCTAGATATTTTCACAGTTGTAAACTTTCCCTTTACATTGGAAACAAGTAAGTGACTTCAATGGGCCAAGTTACAAGATGAGCTGTGGAGAGTCTTATTACTGTTTAAGTCATCCATGATTGATGAATGCACATATATGGAACCAAAACTAGCGATATTTCAAGCAAAGCAACATCTTTGCTTGCAAGAAGCACGTATGGGACAATCCACAAAAAGGTCCTGGATTGGTCCTGGACTAGCCTGGTGATACTACACCATTGTAAAAATTACATTTCATACAAAGGTCTGGATTTGCTCCATTGAGCTCAACTGTAATTGCAGACACTGGGACAGGACCCAGACGGTACATGCAGGGAAAAGATAATTGACCGGAGTTTACGGATGGCCAAGGCCAGGCTGGACTTGGACTGGTTCTGGGCTGAGCTTGGTTTTCCGCCTGAGTTGAGCCAGGCTATATTTACTGTTTTTTCACTGTTTTTGCTAAATTTAAAGACGTGATAGTTAGTTTTGGCACTTATTAAATGTGAGTTAAGGTAAAAAGTAAAACCATGTATATTACATAGTTTTAATAAAACTGTTAGAAAACTAAATATACTTTTTTTCAGAATTCCATTGATTTGAACGGGAGCCGTCATAATGACTGCTCTGCAGGTTTCCAAACCCTGGGAGTCCTAGTGTTAAGTAAGTAAGTAAGTCATCTTTATTCATATACCACCTCTCACAGACCAGAGTCACAAAGCGGTTTACAATTGTTATTTTTGGGAGAGATGGGAGCGGGGTCGCCGAACAGGAGGTGCATGCCAGACCTATTGTACATGTTTTTAGTGGTAGGGGAAACCAGAGTACCCAGAGGAAACCTACGCAGACACGGGGAGAACATGCAACTCCACTCAGAAAGACCCTGGTCCGACCGGGATTTGAACCCAGGACCTTCTTGCTGAAAGGCGAGAGTGCTATCCACTCAGCCACCGTGCCGCCCTAATAATAATAATAATAATAATAATAATAATAATAATAATAATAATAATAATAATAATAATAATAATAATAATACTAATAATAATAATAATAATAATAATAATAATAATAATAATAATTAATAACATACAGTAGAGCCACATTGTCAGCCATGAAGCAATATAAAATACATTATTCTGAAATATTGTGTTTATTGCAATTCTACTGCAAAAATAGCAAACTCATTGTTTTCCAAGGGACATAATACTGTTTACACAGTTCCCACATAACCATGATGCAGAGCTCTGTGTCTGTATCCTGTAGTTACCAAACCGCTCTGCATTAGTCTGGTTCAGTTAAATTCCTCCCTTAAGCAATATGGAGTCTGGGAGCACTCCTTAGCAATGCAATGTTTCGTTTGGAAAAGAACATGGGAACCTACGCATATACTAAGTAAAATGTAAACATGGGAAAAAAATGGCAACCTGTATATATATGCTGGTCAATACACTACTTTAGCAAACTTTCAGCATAAACTTCAATTTTCAACTAATTGCTTATTGCAATAGTCATCAACTAATTTCGTAATATATATATTTTAAACCTTACATAAACATGCTGAGAAGAGGTTCTATGACTCAGATATTTCCATAATGAGATTTAATATATGTAAATATGTTTACCAAGTATTTCTAATCAAACAACCAAACGTATAACAGGTCATTACGTGGTTAAGATCCGCTGGCATCTCCACTTGCAATTTTGGTATGGTCAAAGGATGTACAAAATCCCATATCCACTGGCCTTTCAGGATCCAAACAACTAATCAATTCATCAAAAAAACAAATGGCAAACTATTGATATAAAAGAAGATTAATCAACAGCCCTAAAATGATAAGTGAAGATTGCACATAGTATGTCTCCTTTAACTCATTGTGTCCCATTGACGCACAAATACGTCAAAGCAAATAGTAACGTCGTGTGCCATTGACGCATTAATCCGTCAATTGCCTTTTTTGCTATTTTCACGTTCCCAGATGTCTATTGTATCTAATATGTATGGGGATGACTTGAGACCATATTTTATCGAGCCAGCAGGTGGCAGCATTGCTCTCTGAATGGTTTGAAAACATGTAGGTGCACATGTTGTGCCTCTTTTTTTCTCAACTTTCTGGTGATTTCTGGTGATTTCAGTAAAACTTCCCTCTACTCGACGGAGGATTACAGGGGAACGAAAAAAGCTATAAACAAAATTCTTTTTGCTGAGGAAAGTAGACAGTCCATTCTTTTAGAATCTGGTGTCGGATTTCAGATAGTCATAGTACACAATATTCTGTGGGTCTTGAAAAATCTGTAAAAATCATCAGAAATGGCTGGCACTGTGGGAGTACCTGTTCTGAAATAGGCTGGCATTCAATGAGTTTTAAATACGAGAACAAAAGAGTGATTGGCGTTGTGTGAGGTAGTGGTGTTGGCCCAAGCTGAGATGGGACAGGAAACTGGCAGGCAGATTAAACCCCCATGGGACACAGTGTTCCCCTGCGACAGGACACCACCATCTGAAGGAGTGCAGAGGCGGAAGCAGGACGGGCAAAGAGGTGTGGACAGGAGCGGTAGAGCAAAGGTGTGCCTATAATAATCTCAAACTGGGTTATTAGCTCACCAAAACGATAGAGACAATCTAAAGAAATATTGTCAAAAAGCCTATGGGAAATCTATATTCCTAAAGCCATTATTATGTTACCTATTAAAACAGGTAACAAAACTAATTCAATTACTCATGCCTGTTCTTTGTCATCTCATCTATAGAAGCGCCCACAAAAATAAATCAACCAGACCAGTGAAAAGCAGCAGTGTGGATACGTGTGATGATCCCTTTCATTACTAGAGTCCCAATCTTTTGTTAACAAGATGAGATGTGGGTGTAAATGGAAAGAAGTACAGTTTTTTAATGCACATTCGTTCCATGTGTATATGGATATGTTGGAAGTGTCACATTTAGTGGTCACTACTTGTATTTCTCCCCATTATAAAATATATGATGTATATCTGTGAACCATATGTTTTATGCAATAACCGGAGAAGTGCTTTATTTGTTTGGGAATCACAAATTAATATGATTTTCCTACAATAGAGTCCCAAATTGGTTATTCTCAGAGAAAACACTAGAACCTTTTTCACCAACAATGTACAATGTACTCAGTGATGACAAATGGCTTTTGGGAATGAGGTAGTGCTGAATAGAGGCAGGATGAGGAGACAGAGCCAGCATGAGGAGACAGAGGAGAGAGAGGAGAGGCATGATACTTAATAACTCTCGCCAAAGGGGAACTAGGTCTGCAGTTTGTGCAGAACTAAGTCCTGCTGTGAATTTGAAGTCCATGGGGTCCATGATGGTGCAGTGCCTCATGCTACAGAATGCTGCAGATACAAACTTTTATTATGCTTCATCTTGTAACTTTGGCATCATTATTACAAGAGCAGCTGGTCACACTGCCTGCAGACATAATCTCCTCCTCTTAAAAGTATTCACCATTTCAGCATGCCGTGTGAATCTACAAATATGGAACTAATAAAGGACCAGCTTTAACAATGTGTTTGTATCTAAACAACATTGAATAAACCTTTAAATAATAGTAACAGCATTTGAAATGGCTCTAGTAGTGATGTAAATTCATCAGTTACTGCTCTAATCTAAAGAGAGTGCAATTGTAAATAGGCGATGGGTTGTTATAGACATGTTCTTGTTATTATACCTATATTAAGGTCCTCCATCCATCCATTTTCTTCCCCTAAATCCATTTCCGGGTCGGGGGGGTGGCAGTCAGAGCTGCACCCAGTACACTTAGCACCAGCCCCTCACTGATCCTCCAGCGGGGACTTCAGGCAAAGTGGGGTTAAGTGTCTTGCCCAAGGACACAATGGCAGCAGTCATCAGTGGGAGTCGTGAAGTAGGTCTTACGGTGGGCTAATGCTCTACCAACTGAGCTACTGTCTCCCCGTTGTAATAAGGTCCTCTGTGATCAAAATAGAAACATTTAACAACAAAACAGCTGGCATGAGTTATGAGCCAAGTAATTAACATCTTTGCCTTAATTGAGTGCCACTTTACCCTGTTACAGTGAATACTGTCCAACAGGTGAATTGTGAATCATTGTCATTACTGAGTGGAGGACACACTGCTGCTGCTGCTGCTGCCGGCGGCTGTGTGTGCACATCTGGACCATGTGCTTTGAGCACAGATTAGAAATAACACCAAATGTCACGTCAAGAGCAAACATGCTATGGTGGTGCTTCCAAATCACACACATGCCTTCAAATATCCAGTTAAAAACTTCTGCACTGGATTAATCATAATAATAATGTTGCCATCAAAGAAAATTACATTTACAATTCTGTTTACACCAACTGATGGCAACAAAAAGAACAGTAACTGATGGACAGGATTAATTACATGAAATGCATTTTATGGTAGTAGTATGGAGTGCCAGCAGCTTGGCCATCACGTATGCTCTTGGGAGATACAACAAATCTAAAAACAAACACAGTGACATTAGATATTGAAGGACAACAAGAGACAGAGACATGTCTTTGTGCTGTGATGCTGTGGGTCACCACAACCAGCAGTACAAGGAATGACAGGAGGAAGTGCTAAAGGGGAAAACCCTGAGAGAAAAGTGCTGAGCCACCTGCACATGTTGTATGTGCGGAGCGATGGATAGAGGCTGTTTCTGCTCTTTCCACGTCCGCCACGTGAAAGCTCTCCTCAGCTGCTCTGCCCTCAAAGAACAGGGAAACACACGGCATACACCCTGACACTGCCCTTTCAAGACATGTTGCAACTAGTGACTATTAAATAACCATTTATAAATGGAAACCCTCGCCTCTTTAAGGTCTGCACATGCTAGATTCCACATAAAACATCAAGATACAATATTATCTTACCAAGCAAGCTTGAAGCCTTTCATTAGTACAGTGGAGAGTGTCTGACGTCCATTGCATGTTGAGGGCACAGGGCGGCCCAATCACTCCACTGCATGCTGACTGCCAGCCAGCCCCAACCTCAGCTCCCATGCATGAAGCCGATAAAAGCCCAGAGCAGAAGTGGCTGCTCTGCTCTGCCTCACAAAAAGTTACATTACATTGCCAGTTATTAGGTGCCGCAGTGTTTGGCACTTGTGCCAAAAATTGTCACGTCCCCAAGACTCTTCAGTTTTCCCAAAAGATTAGGAGGAGACGTGCATTGCAACATGCACAGTCCCAAAAGCAGTACAGCAGTAGTAAAAAGTGCAGACAGAATAAGCCTGTTAGCATTCCTCCCCAACACTCATCTGCACTGTCCCTGAGCTTGTGTTGCTCGCTCAAACTCTGCCTCAGCCTCCGCTGCAGATGAAAGCTGCACTTGCTGAGCTCACAGTGAGCAGGCGCAGGACAGCTCCCTCCTCTGCCCCTCCCCCTCCCACCGCCTGTTCTCTATCTGCTTCCCTAGATGGCCCTCTTTCACTATCTGTACACATTACAGTGCTGGGGCACCCCGCATGGCCTGCAGGACTGGGACATGACAGCACAGGACTATATTAGATGATGTGGACACGTCAAAGCACTGACCCACATGCACTTCTTCTCGATCCTTTGTGAGAGTATAACGATTCACATGGGAAGGAAATCTTTGCTGCCGTGTTGGACTCTAGCCCTGATCAGTGTCAGCAGATAACAGTTAATCTCCTAATGCACTGGCTGTAATGGGGTATTCATGTGTTTATAGTACTCCGGTCAGTACACAAGACAAATGTGGGTCTGCATTGGAGCATACATAACTGGAACATAAATTACATTCTTGACCATTGGCTTAAACCTCTGGCCTCGGAGGGATGCACGCTTTAATTAGAGCTGAGTGGCTTGCTAGCTTCACACACAGACAAAATATTGATTCACATTATAGATTGTAAATATATGGATTCAAATGAAAAATTGTTTTGATTTGTTTCTTTAGATACTTAGAGCTAAACCACCAAATATCAGCTTTTCTGTAAGGAATCAAAATGGCACAAAGAACTGCAGCAAACAACACAAGGGGTAGGACAGTCCCCCACATGGAAACCATCTGCCTCATGCTCAGGTAGATCAGATAAAAGATAATGGAAAGTAATGCCTAATAGTTAATGAGTACATACAAACCTGGTGCTACGTGTGTTATTTCATTATAACAAAGCTATAATGTAATTAACTGTGAAGTGAATGCTGTGCAATTGTCTTCATGGAGAGGTGCTGAATGAACAGCTCCATAAATCGACCCGACATATCTGCCCCATGATGCCCTCTGGTGACTGTAGAAGTATTAACAACTTTTAAGTGGATAAACAAAGAAGACACCAACTGCTATTGGCTTTGGCAATGCCTAAACAAAGTGCATATTGTATTTGTTCATAGATGCTATAGTCACGTATTTTCTACATCCAAGAATGAGGTCTGTAGAATACCACTCTCCACTGCACTGGGTTCATCAATCCGTCCTTGCCGGTGCAGGAGTCTAAGGACATGATGATGACATTTAAGGACATAATCTTGCATTTCCTGTGCTTATTGTTTAATTTTCTGTGTTATAATTGTTTGATCGCCAAATCAAAATGCACAATTTTGATAAGTCCTCCAAGACGACAACTGTTGTGAATAGGGGCTACACAAATAACGTTGAATTGAATTGAATCAAGCATGGTCTGTTGACTGGTGGTTCGTTGGTAACACAACGCATGTCAACAACATAGAATCAATGATCTCGGATTAATCATATAGTTTAAATAAGAATTAGAAGAGTTATATAATTAAAGGTATACAGGGGGATTTTCCCAAATTTTAGGAAAGAACCGCCAGTTATGAGGACCAATAGTCTTGCTGATCCACCCGGAAGTAGAAAATCCTCCTATATTCCTTTAAGTTTTAGAACATATATTAAAACAGGGAATCATCTGTATAAGCTGTATGCATACATAGAACTTCAAATGAATTTCCAATATTGTATTACAGTTTTTCTCTATTGCTACAACACAAAACCCAGTACTCTAAACCAAATGACCAATTGCCTAAACCATAAACACAATTCTCCTGTAGACACTGTTCACAAAACACATGCCCTTTTTCTCAAAACTCTAAACACATTTTTCTTTTGCTAAAACACATTTTTCCTTTGCTAAAACACATTTTTCCTTTGCTAAAACACATTTTTCCTTTGCTAAAACACATTTTTCCTTTGCTAAAACACATTTTTCCTTTGCTAAAACACTTTTTGCATGTATCTCTGCTCCTATAATCATTGTGATGTGATGAAAAATGTCTCCCACTGTCAGCAAAACCTGAACACAATGAACAGACCTGGTGTCATTCAGAAAACACAACCACTCAGATTCGAAAACTCCTGTTGCAAATGATGTGACCACAACTTTATAAGTCAGTGCAGTTTGATGAAGGTTCAAAACAAAAATGGATAATCAAGGCAGAAGAAGAGGAGTTCGTGTCAGAGGAGGGAGAGGAACAGGCCGAGGAGGGAGAGGAGCAGGCCGAGGAGGGAGAGGAGCAGGCCGAGGAGGGAGAGGAGCAGGCCGAGGAGGGAGAGGAACAGGCCGAGGAGGGAGAGGAACAGGCCGAGGAGGGAGAGGAGCAGGCCGAGGAGGGAGAGGAGCAGGCCGAGGAGGGAGAGGAGCAGGCCGAGGAGGGAGAGGAACAGGCCGAGGAGGGAGAGGAACAGGCCGAGGAGGGAGAGGAGCAGGCCGAGGAGGGAGAGGAGCAGGCCGAGGAGGGAGAGGAACAGGCCGAGGAGGGAGAGGAACAGGCCGAGGAGGGAGAGGAGCAGGCCGAGGAGGGAGAGGAGCAGGCCGAGGAGGGAGAGGAACAGGCCGAGGAGGGAGAGGAGCAGGCCGAGGAGGGAGAGGAGCAGGCCGAGGAGGGAGAGGAACAGGCCGAGGAGGGAGAGGAACAGGCCGAGGAGGGAGAGGAGCAGGCCGAGGAGGGAGAGGAACAGGCCGAGGAGGGAGAGGAACAGGCCGAGGAGGGAGAGGAGCAGGCCGAGGAGGGAGAGGAGCAGGCCGAGGAGGGACACACCCGGACTATTGTGTTTCCAATTGTTACTGTACTGTAGTATCTATTGTGTCTAATGGATCCTCTATAGAATTTACAGTACCCATGTTTGCATTGAGTTTTGATATAACTGCATTTTCTGCATTATGTAACTATTCCCATCATACGCGCAAATCTATAGTAAATGCCCTAAACATATTTGAGAATAAAAAAAGTGTTGCTCAAATGAATCCTGGCAGTTGTGAAACTGTAAAAAAGAACAGTCTCACATTCTGAAAATTGTGTTTTCAATTGTTTTGGTGATGTGGTTAATGATGCTCATAGTGTTCACATTTTTGCAGACCATGAGAGGTATTTTGGTGTGATGGGTTGGTTTTGAGAATATGAGAAACTGTTTTGGTGTGATGAGTCGGTTTTGAAAAGAGACTGTGTTGTTGTGTGTACGTAGCTTTAGAAAAGAGGTTTGTGTTTAGAGTTTTGAGAAAAGGGAGGGCAGTATTGTGAAATGTGTTTAAGCAATAGAGAAAAACTGTACAATGCTTTCCAACAAACTCACAATAATGTCAGAGATGAAACACACAGAATAAGAATGCTGCACCATAAATGTAGCTGGAGTGTAGTGGTTTTTTCCCTTCATGCTACTGTCCGACTAATCAACAGTGAAGGGAGCAGAGCAAACAAGAAAATTATAGGAAATAACATAAATCAATCCGATGTTCACAACTTCCCTTTTTAATTGCTGTTTGTATTCAAAATTCTACTCATTTCACGTCAGTAGTGCAGCCATCAAAGGAATGATGAAGCATGACTGTCCTGCGTTCATTGCAGCACAGTATTGATTGATGACTAATGACCTGAATACCAGTGCAGCTAGTTATACAAGTACTGTCGTCATATGGTATTATTATGAAATCACAATGACCTCATCACTAGTGGCCACGAGATAACGCATTTGGCATGCAGAGGTGAGATCTCTTCGCTCAGGGGTTATTTCCTTTAAGAACCACATGCATAAAACTGCGACCATCCTGCTCTCAAGCTGACCTTCACATCAACGACGATATTGATGAAATTGATAAGGAACAGAATACGGCAAGGAATGCTGTATCACGTTAGACATTAAAGCGTGTGTAAATGTGTGTAAATCCATGAAACATTGCCATGAAAATGTTGTGGCTCTGGAGTCTACAATATTTATTCCCTGGAGGTCTACAACAAGAATAGAAAATAGCTACTCCTCTAGGCAGTTTCCTAGGAAAGAAAATAGCTGATATTGGTGAGAGCTTGCCTTAGATGGGGTACTATCACAATCAGCAGTCTTCGTTTATCATCACGTACTCATTGCTAAGGCACAAAGTACGTTTTCATGTACAACAATTGTGAGCATGTGAATAATACATTCAGGAATATTATATATGTTTTTTAATTTTTCAGTTACTAAATCCATTGGGGAGGTGTGAAAGGTGGCAAGCTACAGGTGGGAGAAAAGGTGGAAGATTAACTTTTACTTTCTGAGGTTTTAATTTAAGGTATTGATGCGCTGTTTAAAAAATACAGTACATTCCAAGTTATTAAAGACCTCATGCAGGTTTTTTTTAATTTTTTTTATTGTGGATATCAAAATTGCATGACAGTTAATCAATTAATGTCGATCTGAAATAGTTGCCGGCAAAAAAAATCCTATATTTTATAAAAAGAATGTGTTTTTAATGAATTTAAGTTGTCTATGCTCTAACCTGTGTGTGACGTCATAGCGGGTATCGCCCATGCATAGAAAGCCATGGATCTATGCCACAGATACTCGCCTATCCTCTCTTCTCTCCACTGATCCAACACAATACTGCACTTTACAGATGTCAATTCGGGCGTTCTGCTCTCCCAAAATTCCATCCGATGGGCGGGGGAGCGACTGAATTTTGCGTTGCATTATGGGTAACACTTGCCTTCGCAACTTCCGGTTCTCTCTGCCCGGCGCATTTTCTCTAAATGGTTGAGTGTTTTCGTCATTTTCTGTATGCAAATACATTCCCGTCTCTAACTAGTGGCATATCGCGCAAATCATCCGTCCAATTCACATTCTTCCCTCTTAGCTGAACTTCATTCTCATTGTTACCATCTGTCACTCGCACACACAGCCGTTTTCGTTCACTCTGCTCGCTGTCATCTTCTTCTAAATCTTCATAAACACCATCCGCTCGTTGAACTAGCAACAACAATTCCTCCTTTCGTTTTCCCACACTGCAAATACCCTTTCGCTTCAACCTTTCACGCAATTCAGGCACTGTCAATCGTTTGTTGTTTTTGTGAGCCATATTCGCCATTGTATGAAATCAACCGGAAGTGAACTGGGCAACAAACGGTGTCATTTTTTGATCACAGCGCCGCTCAGTGGATTAAATTTTGGGAGAGCAGAACGCCCGAATTGCTCACTACACATTATATTGCCATTTTGAGAGTGAAAATGTGACCGAGGTGGGATTTGAACCTCAGTTGCTGGTATACTAGGGCAATGACACAACCACTGGACTGTCCCAGCGCTGATGTGGAGATACACACTGGTAGTATTCTCATATTCGCTGTACCTTGTCATCTTGAATATCCGCAAAAAAAGAGCAAATACCAAATTATAAACAACTTACAGCCGGTTGAAACGTACCCGCTCTGACGTCACCAAAGGAGAAGAGGCTGTGAATTGTCTTCATCTCTAGGGGCGTTGCTATGGTCTTTTCTCGATTTTGGGGATCAGACAAAAAAGAAAACAACTGATTTTGAAACCTTTAGTAGTTCTCTTCTAATATAAAATGGTATTAAAACTGTATTTCTAAATCAATTAAACCCTGCATAAAGTGGCATGGCATCTATTACATTCTAAAAATCAAACTAATAACTGAAATGAACAGTAGAATAGTAGAATATAGAGGTATAAGCTCTTCATTCAACATATTTTCAGACAATGGTCTGATCTACTACAGATGAAACTAAATCATATAAACATCACAATAATAATGACGCTCCAATCCCAGCCTTCTGCTGCTGCAGGAGACAATCGCTGACTGTGTTTCAGCAAATAATGCTACCGTATCTAGCTTCATTTCCAGGATCTTAGCTGTGTGAAATCTGAGGAAGGGCAGAGCATGTCACATTTCGTAGCTACGAATTTGAACAGCCATTGGCCTGTTTTTGTATTGCGATTACAGCTGAATAAGTGGGGGGGTATGATAACTATTAACATACTCACGCAATGAACATGTGAGACGAACCTCTAATCTGACAATGGTTAAATGAAAGCAGTTCTGCTCAGCTACACATTAAACTCATCTTATTGTTAGCATGTTTTTTCATGATTCTGAAAAGTGCTACACAAAACAATTAAATGAAAAATAAAATGGCACAATACAATGTGTATTTTCTTTTAAATGTTTTTAATTATTTGATTGATTGAAGTTGCAAAATTGATTAAAGACAGAATTATGATAAATCTTATTTGAAATATTCATGTTCCCAAAAACATAACACTCTGTCTTTCCCTGGCCGCATAGGGAAGTAGCCTATAGTACATGGGGGGAAAACTACACAGACATGCCAACTCCATTTAGAAAGGATTGAATATTTGTTTCATGATACTCACAATATTTACTTGGACATTAAGCAATATGTCCAAGTAAAGGCTTTATTTGAGCTTTTCCCTATTACATATGGTACATTTACATAAGAGGGTGATAGAAGGTGAGGCATCAGAAGCAGGAAGGCCTCACTTACACTTACACGTCATGGCCACGCTGAAGAGACTAATGACTAATGGGCTGCATACTATCAACTCCACATTCAGACAGACAGATTGAAAGAGGACCTATATTTAGAGTTGATACCATTAAAAAGGCATATGTGCGCGGCATATCATCTACAGCCGGGCCCTTGGGAGCATATGTCCCGGTATGAAACGAGGAGCCTGCACTTCTGCAGCAGACAGGGATGTGAACTGACTCACACCAACATTGTCCACCGTGACATCCACAGCTGGTCGCACACAATGCAGTTAGAAAAAAAAAAAACTGGGCCAAACGTAGCTCGCATTAAGGGAGGTAATTGTGTGTCTTGGGTTTGGTGTTTTCACTGTGTGTTCAGAAATTTTGTGGTTCAGATTGGGATTGAAAAGAAAATGGCTTGTCATTACTGTGAATAAAGAATGTTCAAGATGAAAGATGTGTGTAACTAAATGAAAATGTGATTCCAATTGTGTGTTCGATTGTATGATTGTGGATAAATGAGACAGATGCCACATGTTTTTGTTTTGCTAGTAAACTAACTACAATCTACAACTTTGTACAATATATTTAAGTTGTTATAGATCAGTGTTGTTGAAGAGAGAACTGATAAAACAGATTGTGGACATCAATATATGAGACCACATTTTTTTAAAACATGTTTTACTTCTAAGGGGTCCTTTACTAACATTTTGCTGCCAACATTTCATAACTACAGTTGCTTTATGTTTCTCTTTCACAACTTTAATATTTACTTTCAAATTGTGAAGACTAAATATATTTGCTACACCAATGACCATTCCGTTTTTTGTTTATTTGATACTCTTTAAAGGTCAGGTACCAAACATTCAAACCATGAGATGTGGAACTACATATATAATCAAATCCATCTAACTAGTTCCTCGCTCTCAAAACTGTGCGGTTCTATCACTGGTTTACACAGGCATGTATTTTGGTCTCAGCATTTTCAGACAGAAAAGTTGTTACTAGAGAACCAACTAGTACAAACAAGACTCTTTCTGTTAGAAAAAAAGCAGGTCTTATTTATGGATAAAGTTAGGTACCTCAGCTTTAAAGAACTATAACAATGTGATACAGACTAAATAAACTAGGACATGAGGACAACTGCTCTGTATATAACCTTTGACGCATCAATAATTTCCAGCAACACTACAATACACTGAAGCCAAAACTATGACATTTTAGGATGAAAAAGTCACTATCACTCCAGAATAGACAAATGCACTGTTTCTGCAAGTGGATGTGAATAAAGCAAACTAATTCATCTGCAGTCATGACCGTACGGAGCGTAAGTTTTAATACGCTGATACAGACTTCTTTAGAAATGATGACAAAGTACCGGAAAGATGATCTGACCTTGTGTTAGTGCACGGAGAACAGGCCGACACCATCCCCGCCTCTTTCCTGGATCTCATAGTTTCTGGCAATCACTGCGTCCATTCACAGCAAATCAGTTTTCTCTCATTGTAAAAAAACATTTAGGCCCTATCGAGTACTGGTTCAAAATATGAAGTTGTAAAAAAGTCAAAAATGGTGTTGGTAATCCTTTTAGGGTTCTTCAAAAAGCTGGAAATTGAGTCGAAAATACTCAAACAGGATTGTTATTACTGTGCAGGTAGTTGACAGCCTCGCATCTCCTTTGCACTGTTGGGATCAGTTGTAAAGAGGAGGATGGGTCAAGGATGCGAGGGCTCTGATTGGCTGCAGGTCTGTGATGCGTGGGCTGTTCTCTGAGCGGCCGTGTTTGATAAGTATGGTCCTTCACCTCCTCATACACCTCATTATCAGCCGGATTCCCTGATTTTCCTCCGGTCACACAATCTGCTTAACTAACCAGATGGAGGCCCTGGCCATTTGTCAAATACAAGCGAATGTGCCCTCAAAGCAGAAATCACGCACTATTTGTGTAGCACATTTTAGTGTGGTCAAAGAATCTGACTGCAACTATATATTCACATTCAAAAACTAGCCATAAATTATGATAAACTTATGAATGGAAAGATTGATCTGGCTTGAATTACAAAGGAAATACCTTCAACTCTTTTGCTCCATGTACTCTATTTTGTATGTTTTCCCATAGAAATTCTTGTGAACTACAGATAATTCGACTTTACAAATCAAATTTTGCTAAATTAAGTCACCATGAACCGATTGATAAATTAAACAACCAGGCAGCCCTATATGGGAATAACCAGTTTTTTGAAATACTTTAATGCCTATTATTATCTGCAATAAGCGGAGACTGTATCCCTAATTCTTTATTATTCCTTGCGCTTTTAATCTGAGTTAAATTGAGCAACTGTGTTATTGTTTTTATACCAGTCCAATTTTATGTCCATTTTATGTCTCAATGAAAAAATGTGAATGAAGGAGAAGACGTATTTGTGTAATGAATTTGGATGCAGCCAAAGACTAACAAACACCCTTCTTAAATCATAAAAAAAAAAAAAAGGAAAATCGTGCTACTGCCAATCCTCCTGAAACATATTTTTCAACAAAATTATTATTCTTCTAAACTCATCTTAAGCCCATTTTACTGTTATTGCCACATAATTCAAAAGAAAGCAAGTTTTGGCCAAAGTTGAGGTCGCGATCTTACAATCTTTCAATATTTGGCACAGCTCAACAATGCGCTTCAGGAAACGTCTGCCCTTGTACGGCTGTTTCTGTAGTGGTTCAGAGTGCACTTCGGTGGAGCACTTTGAGAGACAGAAGTGCAGGGCATTATTATTTCTTATTATCATTATCTATGGTTCATTTCCTCTGTCTTGTAGTAACAGCAAAAATAAAGCCAAATATTTCAATATGACTTTTCTTGCAAAGATCATGTTTTGTGGCTGTCAGCACACAGGAGAATACTGAACCTGGATCAGATGACCTTCAAGGGCGTCTCACCACAGGAACAAATCAATTTCCCATGTAATGAAATATGAATAGTGCACAAGCCAGGAGATATTACATGAAGATTTTAACTGACATATTGAAATGCATAGTTTCAAACAGTTCTATAACTTAAGCACTTTTCATCATATACGTTCTCTCTCGTCCATGCAAAACGAGAGCTCTTGCTTACAGCAGCCAAAGCTTTCCTCATACATTATTTACCCGCTCCCCTAGACAAAGCATCAATCTCCTCTGACTCATCACAGGACCTGGACATTCATACAAGATATTGCTGTTTTTTTTATTTTTTTCCTGGCAACTAACATTAATTCAGGTCCGAAAATTAGAAAAGCACATGAAGAATGCAAACCTCTGCCAAGTGGGTGGTGCAGATCCATTCCTTAATTATAATAAAAAGAATAATAATGGTTTTTATATAGTGCTTTTTTGGACACTCAAAGACGCTTCACATGTCAATATTCATTCACTCAATACGCGGTGGTGATAAACTACTACTGTAGCCGCAGCTGCCCTGGGGCACACTGACCGAAGCAAGGCAACCAGTATGTGCCATCGGCCCTTCCAACCACCACCAACCATTCACACACACACCAACGACAGCAGACATGAGATGATGAGATGATGATCCAGATCTCACATCATCAGGAATGACCACAACGTTTTCCAACACTATTCCAACAAATGATTTATTCCCACCATTGTTTGTCAATTAATTTCTCAATTTCATGTCACCAGAAAGTGGATTGAACGATAATGTTATGATGTACCAGTGGTCCTTTCTTCACAATCTCTGCAATTGCTAGCTTCATTTACCATTCTTAATGCTTGTCTATTATGCCATTATGAAGGTTTCCTAAAACCTTCGTCGTCATTTTCTCATAACATTTGAGTTATGGCACGAATGACCCAATTAAAAAAAAAAAAACTGCTGCTCACATGACCTCTCTCCCTATTGGCGGCCATTTTCTAAAGTGTTGTTGCAGTGATCTTCAGCACAGTTCATATAACAATAATAAATATAAATGCATGAAATAAAAAAGTGTTATGCCGGATGAAATTAGTGCATGATAATTGTCAATTATTCAAAACAAAACATTGTGAGTCCAGTTTGAACAGAGAAATGCAACCCAGTATCATCTGCTCACCTGTCCTGCTGCCCGCATTCACACAGCTGACCCCTGAAACCTCCCAAAGCTCGGCGGCAGTGTCCAGTGTTATTTGTCCAATAAAGCCAAACAAAAGCATTCCACAGCTTGCAACTGTATTCACTGCTTCAGCATTCGCACATTCACAACACACTTGGGCACAAAGCTCGGAAAATAAGCAACGGCGCATTGCCTGGTCAGGAGAAGTAAGGACAATAACAACAAAATATGACAAAAATGTACAGTCTGCCTACCTCAATTTCTCTACAGCACTGTCCGACCTGGGAAGAAAAAAAAAAAAACTCGGTCTCAGCTGAGAATCAAAAACAATATACATTTTCTTGTATTAATTCAATATTATTATTTTATCATCTAGAAAGAATAAACAAGCCTTCTCTTTGCAGTGAACAGCAAGTCGCAGAAATAAACTGGACTTGCAGTGAAAGAACTATGTAAAATCTTGACAAATTTGACAACATTTACTTATTTACACCTGTGTTTTAATATTACAATGTGTCAATTCATATCCATCAATCTATATTACGGCATTTGAATGTGAGAAGAAGAGATGAGATGAAAACTTTAACCACTTTTAGGCAAGCCAAGGCAAGGCAAGTATATTTGTATTGCACAATTCATACACAAGGCAACCCAAAGTACTGAACGAAAAACGAGATACTTTTAATGATGCAAGTGAGTGTTTTTGACCCATTTCCGCACAACACATGGTACTGAAGCTGAAAATCCTGTGTAATGTAAAAATGTAGATAGAGAAAATCCTAAAGTAAAGCAATTTTACACTATAATACAAGGCGCATGGAGGTATTTGGTAAAAATATATCATCATAATGGCAAAGCATCCTCCCCAACACTGACAACATATAATGAGTCAATTACGCACAGAATTTTACATTCCCACAAAGACTACAATCTGCAGAGTGTAGACATTTTTAACTTCTCCGACAGACATGATCACGGTATCATAAAGCCTTTCTGTAATAAGAGCTGTGCATGGATCGGCAAATCTAGCCTCCCACATCAGCATTTTGCTAAGTCAGCTGGCTAATAGTGTACATGCAGTTGATGAGAGCAAACTCAACCCTGCGGACCGTAAACAAAGAGAGAGCCCGTGACACAACGTATCCGGAGCCACATCAGGGAGAGTATGCAGCAGTTTTTTACCTGCAGAGGAGACATGACATGCCCTCTAAAGCCGGCTACACAACGCTCCGCCCCCCACGCATGCCAAAGTCTGCAACGCTATCGGCTGCACAGCGCACACACACACATGTCTCATAGATGTGACAACTCCAGATCCTACAGTGTGGACTGCGGACGGCACGACGAGAGGAAGTGCGCAAGAGCCAGAGCAGACAGAGGGGGGCTGGATATATGTGATGCCAGAGTGTTCTGATAAGAATGGGTTACAGGCTGGAGTCCATAACTTTTATCTCACATCAATAATCAATGTTTTTTTTGTCCCAACAGAGAGACTAAAAAGAATAAATGTAGTGAACAAACAAGACTTATGAGAAAACATGTTCTCTGACGTTGATTATTATGTAAGTATTTTTCAACAATAATATATTTTAAAAGGTCTCTCCTCTCTCTTGCTGGAGGATAACAGTTAAGCCAATGACAATGGGTTTCAAGGATTTGAATAAATTTTGACCAATCAGGAGGCTCCGAGGGTAAGCATGGGCAAATCTAACCATTAGATCATCAACAATAAGAGGGACATTCAGTCTAATTGTATGAAAGAGCTATTTGAGTCACTAAAAATACAAATACATGCATGTGGAAACTAGTGATAGAACGTATCTGTAACAGCGAGAAACAAGTGACATGGATTTTATGACAAGGTAATTTTGTTGTGGATTGAAAGTTGGTTACTCCAGCTTTAAATCAATCACTTTGCGATACAACTTTTAATAACCATATTTTTTTTCAGATTCTAAAAGGTGACCACCACAAAGTTATAGCAAACAGAGTAAGGCCGTATATATAATTGTAATTGCTTGTACACCTGATGGTTGTGATTATTTGTGAGTTCTGGCTTGTTTCACTGAATCTTAGCTAGCTAGAGTAAAATAGAATCCTTTTTAGGAATAATATGTAAACTTTACCATTGATAGAGGACTACTAAAATCAAAAACAGAAAAAAATCCAGGTCGAGTTTAGGAGTACCTTTAGAGCATCTGCTACTTTTGCACCCAAAAGGTTAATTAACTGAATAAACTTTTATGAATCCAAACCATTCAGACGCAGCTTAAAGTTAAAACTTTGACAAGAATGTTCATACTTTGACAGGAGAAGTCTAAATTAGCTGCGTGTCACATTTGGAAAAGACACACTCCTCCAGATTTCCAGAATGGCTCTTATACAACGGACTGTCATTGCGGACGTGTTCTCTGCAGCACAGTAATGTAGAATTTGGCTAATAATAAACTTTCACTGGCATTCCCCCAACCACATACCTGCAAAAGTTTAAACTGTGGTATATGAGTACATTCTGTCAATAGTTAAACTCTATATAAAAACGTAATGTTCAACCGCTGTGAGTGTGTCAGCGTTTTTCCCACATTTACAAAGAGTACACAGCATGAGAAGAAAAAAACTGTAGACACACCGCCCTCTAGTGGACGATTGAAGCATAGCATTTCCTGACAGTTCTTCAAAGCTGCAATCGCTATTATTTTACTTAGGTTAATCTATTTTATACACTTTGTCATTAAGCATTCAGTTTAATTATCATTACATTTTGTATTGAATAAAATGATAAACATGTGAATTGAAAGTTTGATCTGGCTGGAACATCATGTTGCGCCATATTATCTCATTATTGTTTGTTTTTTTCACATTTTTTCTTTTAACTTTCATAAGTCAACTTATTGATTTTTCATATTAAGGTGACTCATAAAACATTTATTTAACTAAGGAACCATTGACCGATTAATCAGCTAAACGACTAAAGACTGACAGCCCTCACCACCAGGACAGTTGATGAATGCACGTTTAACATTACCTAAATATATGGCAATGTAGTAAAAGCAAAGAAAACATACATAAGTGCTCACAATATGGCAAAATAATGTAGATGGAATGAGCTCACCTTTCTGTCCTGATCAGTGGAGTGAGGAAGCGGCTGCTCTCTTCCTCATGGCTGCTCTGTAGGCTGCTCTGCTGGCTGCTTGGCTGACTACTGAACACAACAAAACAGTGATTATGAAAATGCATTACTATTCCCCTTTCCACATATAAAAAAAATGTTTGGATTTCTTTGCAAGTCAGAGATGAATGAATTGTCATTGTTGTATGTTCAACCAAGTGAAGCAGGTCAGACATTTCTTTGTGCATGTATATTTCACATAACACAAACAGGTCCAGGCCAGAAACTAAAATAACATATTATCGGAGAAATTGTGACTTTAGATGATCTGTTTTATAGTTTCACATTACACTGTAAACAAATAAATTCATATATATGCAGAAGAAAACAGGCTTTTGTTGTAAGGGAATACTTTGTACACTAGAGGGAGTTATATAATACAGGCTTATACCGCAGCAGTTTTACCTCAGAGCGAGACCAAAAATGTTTACAAAATGATGAAAAAACACAAAAACAAAAACAAAACTGTGCATTGATTTTGATTAAACATAATTCAAGATTCCAACTCAATGTTTCTATATGGTAAATCATAGTAGCATACTCAATAATCCATCCAATAATCCTCACACATTTACAAAAGGCTCAAATCTAGGCCACAACTTTATAGCTGGAGTCTCTTACACAGCAGGGGTCCCTAATCTGATTTGAGCAGCACAGGCTGATCTCTGAGTAAACTATTACTATACATATTTCAAACAGCACTGAGGAATAAAGAAAAGTGAACTCACTGAGGAAGTAATCAAAAAAAATATTGCATATATGTAAGTCCTATTCTTATAATTAATGCATTATTGTCAATATGTATTATTTGTCTATGCATGTATTATTACGTATCTAGTATTTGCTTCTGTTTCATAAGCATCTGGCATAATCTGAAGAGCATTTTATTCTCACACAACTCAGTCCCAGTTTAGTGCTCTGTCTTCCTGCCACTTTTTCAGAACTTTCCCCGCATCAGTTAAAAAAACCTCAACAAGTACTTTTGAAAAAACTGTCATTTCCCACAAGGTATGTCCCTTTGAAGTTGCTGTATGCTCATATTCTCTATTTATATGTGACAGTGTGTTTGCATGTGTATTTCTGTAGATGTAGACATTTTAAAGTGTTTTGACAATGCATTTAATTATAACTGGTTGCTAAGCTCCTTGAGTGTTTTTAGAAACCATCCATCCCATTTTAGTATAATAATGAGGTTTTTACTATTCCCACTGACAACTGAACTGCATATACAAGAAGATAAAGTATTATTACAATAGATCAATCCAAATGTCACCTCTTGAAAGGAGTTTTATATGTAATCACTATGAAAAGGTTATGAACAAATTTGTATCAGCTGCTAAATGCATCCACAATCAAGCGTCAAAACACATATATTTTCACTATAATATAAATTACACTTACTGTTCGTATAGCAATGCCATCGCCTCCTTGTAAGAATGCTTTATGAGCTTTGAATGAACTGTCCCTATCTTTCACAAGAGTTTCAGTTCATTTCAAAAGGTGGTTTTTTATGTATGTACAGTACATCATTAACCCGTTACTCAGGGGCAGAGCAAGCGACCAGCCTTTCATAACACATTACAGACTCATTGTGTTTGGTTTGCTTTTTTATTCAGGAAAAAAAAATAGCAGTTACTGGACTGGGTTCACTATTGTAGAGCTGAGATTTTTCTAGATCTGACAGAAACCTTTTTGGTTGAAGTGTAACTTGGCAAAGGTTACTGTATAGTTTCCCTGCCGACACAGACTTTATGACTATCAGAGGCAATGCAGAGACAAATTACATTGTATTCATATTTCTCCCCAAAATAAGAGAAAATGAAATGTTTAGAAAGTTGGGGAACATAATTTCAAAGTGTACGAACTAGTATAAATATGTTTTTTGTTTCAGTACAACTTAATCAAATGCAAAAAGCGTTCTTCAACATAAAATACAAAATAAGATGGCAGTTGGAAATGTAACAGATGTTTTTGACTTCAACACTCTGCTCCAAAGGCAGTAGCAGCAGGTGAGAAATCAGATAATTATGGAGAAGTTGTCTAGCTTTCTGTATAAAAATGTCCCCAGTGGCATTGAGCAGACTGGAAATAATATATACGTTTTCTTTTTTCTTTTATACAAAGAAATCCAGGAGTATAAATGTTGGACAGCATACATACTGTAGCTTATACTGTATAAGACCATGTGAAAAGTCCATGAAATAAGCTGTTGAATTATTTAAAGAAGAGTCCAGCTGTCTGTGGAGGAATGTGGAAGAAACTGGCAGGCAAGTCCCAAAATAATAATAAAAAAAGTTTGAATTTTGAAGAAAAAATATCTCTATGTACATCTCCTACACCTACATTGGAGTACTTAACTTTGAAACTACAAACAATTAACTACGTAATAAAATCCATGTAGCTAGCTCCTGTTTCTAAAATAGTCACAGCTTTCGATTAGTGAGAGCAAGCGTACTAACTCAGACAATCAGCAGTCAGTATGTAAAAGATAAAATGTTGTGGCCTGATTTGTTCTCAACTTTCTGATGAAACAAGAATCTTTCTGTTGGGACAAACACATACAAAAACGTAGGTACTCCAGCTTTAAATAACACCTATGTAAAATTACAACAAGCTTAAAGTGATTGTCTGGAGTTTGTCAGAAAAAAAGAGCGAGAGGTACTTGATTTGAAAAAAACGACGCAAGCTCCCTCCCCCTTCCTTTCTGATTGGTCTACGCCAACGTTTCCGTAACACATTTAATCACATGTTAATCAGAGATCACATTATACATATACATTATTAATACACATGCACAGAGGTTTTCAGAATTATTTGTTTACGTTTTCATGACAAAAATAATGTTTTCATGTACAAATCGCGGCAAACCCGGAAGTAGCTATTATCATTAATTGCACATTATAGGACACATCTGCAGAGGATCTGATTATGGATATAGGTTCAGTATATAAATGGGTAAAGCCTAGTGTATACTCGCGCGGCGCTGCTTACGGTTGCTGTTACGTTGGACCTACGCAAGCACATTTGTGTTTACACTCCTTGCGGAGTTTTGAGGAGAATGTTGTAATCCCACAACCAACCACATGATGGCGATCTCACAGGAGTTGCCTGAAGAGACCAAAGCGGTCTCATTTACGCTGCTTCTTTCTCCTCTTCAGAACAAAAACATGAACAAACCGAGCTGTTTGAGCCCATTACATGTGTTTCTACTGTAGGCTTATGTGATAGTTCTATGGACTCATTATTTCTTAACTCATTTAACTGTGATGTTGTGAATAAAGACACCGTTCTTGTTGGAAACATAGTTATTATTAAATAGTATTCAGCACAAACAGCAAAACAATAAGTGGTAAATTTATTTTATTTATTCTTAAGGATAACCCCTTGAGATGAACCATCTCTTTTTCAAGGGGGTCTAAGGCGAACGTGAACAATTTATAAGTGCAGGAGGAATGCAACAGACGTGATAAGCTACGAGTGCAGATTCAAACAAAGACAGGAACAGTGCAAAAGAAACGACTGCACAATTTTTAAGTTATATATATGTTAGATATGCAACAGAACTCTAGTCCACAGTCTCTGAGTATATCAGGCTCTGCCATGAGCCCAAACTGTTTTTTCTTCGGTTCCTTCGAAGCACAAAGCAGTCTTCTGCGAAATGCCTCGTCCTTTGTCCCTACTGCATCCGCTTCATGCTTCCGCCCAAAACACACACGGACCAATCACAGCGGAGCTTCCTTGCGGCGACCCTTACGCATTGCACAAGTGACGTCACGTCACCTCCGTAAGCGCCGCGCCGCGCGAGTATACACTAGGCTTTACTCAGAGCGGATGTTCAGAATTCTTTGTTCAGTTTTCATGTAGTTCCAGAGCCTAATGGAGGCTTGATTCGGAGGTTCCGTGAAAACAAACAACTGAGCATGAGCAGCTACGAGCACCAGCGCGATGATTGACAGCCCTTGGCATCACTTGGTTGGTTAACGTGGACGGCATCGTGGATTCTGAGCTATAGCTAAGAGAAGGGAAGGCGGGACTTACTCGTAATATTAGAATGAATAAAATGACTTATTTTATATCAACTTTTAAGGCCAGGAGGTCAATTTAATACAATTCTTAAAATTTGTAATTAATTTAGAGTTCCAGACTATCACTGTAAGTATTATACATGTTGCACACAGCTGGAGATAAGATGACAAGTAAAACCATATTTTGTTAGCTAGGGTAAAAAAAATATGCCTGCCTAATATGTACAAATTTCTTTCTTTCTATATTGTTTAGTAGCGGCGGCTGTAGTTCACGTTATTTGATCCGTATGTGTCTTACGAGTGCGAGACTTCAGCACTATTGACCTTGTAACCTGCAGTCGTATCACTATCCCATGTGCACAAAAGGTATTGATTCTGAGCACTGCATGACCTTTCCTTTGCTACTACACACAATCACCTATGGCAACTGCAACCACCGGGATAGATCAAAAACATTTACGACTGCATCAATCCGAACTTGAAACCTAGGATCAGTACAGTAACTACACCCTATGATCCCTTGTAAACAATCCTATGTAGACAAAGGAAGGTGGATGTCATAGTACATTTAAATCTGGATACAATTAAAACGTATCAATATTATTATTATTTGTTATTATTAATGACTGCTCTATCACCCAATCTCTGAAAGAAGAAAAGCAGATTCTTTGGGGGAGAATTTCCACTTTGGAGGTAGAGGTCTCCCAGCCTGCCTGAATCTGTGTCATTGGCACAGATTCCAAATATCTATATTGTTCAGATAATGCTGAGATTATTTTCAATATTAAGTATATATTTGATACATAATATTTTGTATCAATTTCTACAGCAACAATGAAAAACACGACTGAATTAAGTCACAATAATTACTTAGGGTCCTATAAACAGAGAAGGAAACCTTTATTTCGGCAAGCATCATGTTTACGACTCAGTCTTTTCGTTGCATTTTCTTGAAACATTTTGGAAGTTTTCCAAGTAATATTTGAATTGTAGTAGAATTGTAATTTTTTCACACAACTTTTGATATTGTTTATTCATCTCTAGTTCTTGAGCAATAAATTGCCCTTAAAGTACAAATCATGAGCAAAACATTATTTGCTCAAAAGAGAAAAGTAAAAAGTTTGGATAAATCCCCGCTAATATCGGGAGCAAAAAAATAGCACTAATAAAACCGCCTGTCTGTCCAAATGTTTAAAAGAAATTCAAACTGGAACACTATCACATATCTTTAGACAATGGCATCATTTTCTACATTTTCTGCCTTCTATTGTCTCTGAATTAGTTTTGGGAATTTAACCGGTCAAATCACTTTTGTCACGACTAATTTTAATCTGAATATATCACTTCTACCACAAGATTGAAAAAGGCAAAAAAAAAAAATTCTACAGATGAGGACAGTAATGAATACAAATATTTGTATACAAGTCTGTATAAAAGTTTTTATGCAATGTAAAAATCCAAACAAAGTAGGCAGTAGGCAAAGTAGAGGTTGAAAAACTACAGTGTAATAACTACATGGAGTTGACCTTAAAAGAAAAGGTTAGTGCAGGGGTTTGGAAGCAGAATGGAGGTAATAGGAAAGTTAAAAGGTGTTGCATTGACTGGGACAGGAGTTGTATACCAACCTGCTTTCACTTGCTTGCTCCTTCCTCTCTCTGACCTTTAGCCACTTCCTCAACAGGAACCTCTTGCGTCTCGGCGAAGCGCTGGGTGTGGAGCAGCTGGACCAGGACGAAGGTGCGTCCTCATCGCTGGACGGGGTGATCTCGATGGAAGGCAACTGCAGATACTCCTTTGACCCCGAATGGGACCGGGCCGACAGGTGATTTTTGGCCAAGCGCGCCCTTTCCGCGTCCCGTTCGCTGGGCACGTTTCTCATCCGCCGCATTTTGAAACGTTTGCGCCGCAGCGTTGGCGTGGAGTTACTGGAATGAATGCAGCCATCGGACACAGCGGCGTTGGCCCCATCTGAGTACACCGGGGCATCGGACGGTACGCTCACCTGCAATAGAGGAGGCTTTGGAATGTCATTCATAGCTTCCTCTCAGCGCAACCTCCAACCACCCTCTGGATTGATGCAGCTTTAGGCAGAGTTGCTCAAAAATGCACAAAAGAAGCGAAGGATCTTGCGTTGGCAACTCCAACTGGGAACAAATGCCAAAGGAAAAAGTAGTACACCTGGTAGTCCTGATAAGTCTTTCAGCTTTTCCTCACTTGTTTGTTGATATGCGTTAGTAGCGTTGCCAGCTTACAAAAAGTGTCCGTGAAGGCGCTGGTGGAGATAACAAGGGGTCTTCTGTTCTGAGAGAGACGTGGATGAAACATGCATAAGGGCATGAAACACTACCCATGCACCGGTCCTCCCTGATGACTGCCCGGACAAAGTTACAGCAGCTCACACATTGGCCTCGCAAACCGTCCAAGCTGTTACCTTAGCCGCGAATGCTAACACTACAAGAATAGGCTCCAGCCTCTAATGCGTTAAATATTGATGTGTAAGTGGCGTTGATGGCTGGATGGTTGTTGCCTTTGCTTTGACATAGAAAGCCGGCGTGGGTCGTCCTGGTGAACCGGTCCACTTGAAGTCAATGCCTAAAGGTTAAAGGGAGGTGATAGGTTTTTGCAAGGTTTAGGCAAGGCTTATGATGGTGACATTATTGCACACAATTACATGAGAAAGCAGGAGGATGCATGCAAGCACACACACAGACAGGCCCAATTTCAACAACTGATAAAACCAATCAAAGGAAACAAGGCATTCTGAGGAAGTGCACAGGCAAGCAGAATCTCACTTTCACATGAGCTATATCACCTCTCATCAGCAACTCATTAATGCTACAACTTTGGTCTCAAGGCACTTCATGCAGCATTACTGTGCCAAGAAGTATACGTCAAAAAAAATAAAAAACATATACCATTCTTCTGCCGCAACAAACTATATAACATAACATCTGTAGCTCATCATTAATTAATTCTCAATATTGATTGTTATAATCAATGTAATAATGTAATTCTGTATTCCATTGTCTTGCCCCATAACCTAACATTAGTGTAGGCATGGTCTTACCAAATATTCTGCTTAGTCCAGAGATCAAGTTAGTGATCAGTGGATTATTTGTCCTTTAAGCAAACATGCCAGTGCAATGCAGCCCAATCCTCTACACATCACAGATTCATACAACGAAAATTGCCAAACGATTGTCAGAGATTTGAACCCCAGTGCAGGTCACATTAAAAATAAAAAATGTTTACATGGAATGTATTTAAAAATATATTCAATATTGTTTTGTACAATGCCTCTGCAGCTTCTGCAAATAGGGCTAAAGCGAGGGTTCAGATCAGTATCGGTCTTCACTGGCCACACTTTGGCTCACAACTTAAAAGTAAAAGTAAAAGTAAAGCCACTAAAAGTAAGCTTGTGCAGTAAGCCACCTCCTCCCCTTCATTCCCTCAACATTGGGAATATTGCTCATTCATTCAGCAATATAATTATGTTTTCATGCAGTAACCAATATTTCATGCAGACATATCAAGAGATATTATTCTAATACAGGGATAGGCAACTTGCTTTTTATAATAATTTATAAAAATAATTAATACAAATAATGTCTGTAATCAGGATTGTATGAATACATTGTTCCACATTGGTGCATTATGATTAAGATACTATTTAATATCCATGTAGGATATTGCAGTGTGTTGTATTAAATGGTTTTATGGTATGATTTTAAAAGATTAAAATCGTAATTATACTCAAAACTTCCTTTGTCTGAGTCTTTCTGTGTTAGTTAAGTATTGTTCTGAAACAGAGCCAAAGTACACATCAAACTGTAATTAAATTGTAGGGCAGCTCCAGTGTCAGCAGCTGTTTTAAGGAGAACTGAGAGTTTGATCTTGAAGATGAGCAGAGGACACTCCGGCGAATAATCCTAGCAGCTTAAAATATTTATCAAATTTACAGTTTGTTGACCACTGACTGACCAAAACTATAAATGACAAGATGGATGACAACATTCAGAAATCCACCAGCAAGTTAGTAGAAAGTTTTTTAAAACACATTCCACTTTACCACTAAAAAAACGCAAGTACATGTAAACAAAAATAAGCCTATTGTCATGGAATAGGAATTTCTCCTTGACACCAGCTCAAGGCTATCTGCTCATAACGCACACATACACACACAGTGACACACTTGAATTTGGCTTGCTAACATCAAATGACAGGAGAACGTGCACAACCGCAGGGCCACATGGACCGTGCTTAAACCTCTACCGGGCGGACCTCTACCTTATAGAGGGTCATCACATTGTTGATGGATCAACTTATCTATTTTATCTGTTATTGTGTTTTAATGAACAGTAGTGCTGTAAATACACCAGATTGTAGCCTTGGGTCACAGTCACAGTCACACTCATTCACCCTGAACTATTGTACACTTGTTTTCAGTGGTAGGGGCAACCAGAACACTGTGACCCCTACGCCACAGTGTTGCCCAATTTTTTTTTTTTTATTTATTTTTTTTTACAACACCTGAATACACAGAATTTTTTCAAATGTAGTCTTTAACATGATATATCTTAGCCCAATGTACAGTGCAGCTTGTTATTTGTATTCTCATTAATAATGGAAGCTCTTGCAGACATGCCAGGTTACTGTACATTTTCACACTCTGGCCTGTTCCCTGTATGAACGCAGAGAAGGAAAAACATGTATTAATTAAGTCCTGTGCTGTTTCTGGTAACAGTTAACATGTTTGTCTCGCCTACGGTCAAAGCAAGATACAAATCAGGTGAATAGAGAAAGCATGGCTGGGCATAAGTGTGCCTATGTTTCCAGCAGTAAAATGTGCATGTTCCGACATAATGAAACATGGTTACTGTCCCATAATAATGAATAATAAATGAGGATAAATATTGTAGCTGGGGGTGTGTTGTTACACCTGTGCTATGAAGGAGCAGAATGCTAAATAGAAAAGTCAGCAGGAGGACCCAATGGTCGGGCCGTGGTGTGAGCCTTTTGCTCTTTGCCATATGCATACTGTAAGTGCAGTCACCAGATGGACCAACCACAGAGGAGCTTTGCTGATACAGCTGACACACAGAGAGAGGCAGAGAGAATAGGTCACTATCACAAATGTCCCATCGCATCAGATGAAATACATCTATTCATTTGATTATTAATGATGACGTAAACATTGTGATGTGTATGGTATAGATATGCAGTTGTGTGGAATTTAGCAGAGCTTTGACCACCGAGCCTCATAAACCGGTTGAAACCGGTTAACCGCGTAGTTTAAAATATTCCACGTTCTATGAAATAACAGCCATTTCGAGCCCGCATACTTCTCATAAGCACAGCTACGCGTTCTACTGGATCAGAGCCGAGCGGAGCGATACCTGCAACAGCTTCGCCAGCTTTGCACACAGAGAACTGCTTTTTTAATCTTCCCATTCTTCTTAGCTGCGGGTTAAAACTTTTTAGCAGTGTGTGTGCGTGTGCGTGCATATGTGGCGCGTGCGGCATGAGAGTCGGCCCGTAGGTTTACTAATACATTGGCGCACACAGTTAGAGACGGACCCGCTCGTCACACCGTGCGAATAGGGCTTAAAATAGCGTTGTTTTTTTTAACCGATAGCTTTGACCGGTTAACGCTGTGACGGTCAACCACCGGTTAAACGGTCACCGATTTACATCCCTACTCCTGACAGGTGTTTTTTTAGCCAATGTGTCATGGTTTGGTGCGGATTTGGAAATGATAAAAATCAATCATGTGAAAAGAAAATATGAAAGATTTTTTTTGATGGTTATATAACTCACCTTGTTGAGAATGACTTTGCATTATCAATAAAGGCTGCAAAGTTTCCTTTTTGTATCAGTTTCAGCTTGTGGTGTTCCATGCTATTGTTTTGAGTGGCACTGCAAGGTGGGTCAAATGCAGAGGACAAATTTCCCTATGGGGACAATAAAGTTTACCTTAACGTTAACCTTACACGTATACATGCAGGTTTTGTCCAAGAATAGCTTTCCATTGTAATGAGCCTGACAATTTAAGCCAGCAGTGAAATATGTGTGCTATGTTTACGTTGGAGTATTTTTAAAGAATCAATGTTGCGTATCCTGGCTTATCACCGCAGAGAAGGCAGCAAAAAATATATACAAAACGGTCTGGGTAGAAGGAGCGCCTCTGTTTTAAATGATGCATAGATTTTGACACTTTCTAATTTCAAGCTTTCTTATTACGCCTACATTACCCACATCTCAATAAAAAAGTAAAAAGTTGGTCTGATGCTATATATGTGAATTCATGCACTCCTCAATAAAGATTTAATGGACATCACGTAACATCTCCTAAAAGTACACAGATGCTGATGCACTACTTACTAAAGCTGATGTCAAGTCCTCATCATTGAACAATTACTCACTCATGCAGGAGGGGAACAGTGCAGGCAGCTCTGGGTCATGGTGCCAGAGCTGAGGGTTTAGTGGTGTGCAAAGTGTGAAGCCAAAATTTAGACTATCAAATGCTCAAGTGACCACTTCCACCCTGATTTACCTTCGGTCCGATGATGTATAAAACATTATTTAAACCTCTGCTTGAGTAGGTTTTAAAGATACTGTATGTACATAACTTTAATGCAAACAGTATTGTTCTCCCTCAACACACCAAAACAATTCTGTTTTCTTCCCAGCTATTGGGTCATAATGCAGCATGATTTAGTTGTATTCTGTTCAGTGAAGTGTGTGAACAACAGATGCATTGGTATTTGAGAGCAGTGTAAACTTAGATAAGATAAGATAAGCTAGACTTTATTGATCTCACACAGGATAAATTTACATGTCACATTTGGCATGGATAGAATCACTCAGATTTGTGCAAAAGACAGAAGTGTGCAACATGTTAACGCAAAAAATATAGTCTGTGCAGGATATATTATGTACAATAAAAAGCAATTAAAGAAACAGTGGCAATAGTAGAGCAGGTTTTTTATTCCTTATGCCAGTGACTTTTCACTAAAAGATTTTTTGATCAGTGCA